TTAAAATGTAAAAAAACCAACATCCCTCACATTTTATGCTTTTTATCACTAAATTATAAAGGGCTATTCCATTTAATATCCGTACCCCCCCTGTCGAGGATCCCTGGAATTCTTCAGGGGTAAAGTGTTTTGAGCTTGGAATTCTTCAGGGGTAAAGTGTTTTGAGTTTGGAATTCTTCAGGGGTAAATGGTTTTGAGCTTGGAATTCTTCAGGGGTAAAGACTTTTGAGCCTGGAATATTGGAATTCTTCAGGGGTAACCAGTTTTGAGCTTGGAATTCTTCAGGGGTATAACTATGAAAAACATGTATCCTCGACAGGGGGGTACGGATATTAAATGGAATAGCCCAAACAGGGTGCCATATACTGCTATAGTTTCAAATAGTGAAATCTTGACTGATTTCTGCCTAAGTATTTCACAAAATATTAAATACAACGATATCCAGCTGCACATAAGTTATTATACCATTTACATTTCTTCTAAATCCTTTAGACATGGCTCACATGAGTATTAATTTCTCGGTAATTTCGGAATTTCAATTTTCCACTCCTACGATGAATAACAGTGCCATATAAATCGGTAGATAATCTTCAAAGGTTTCTCATACCAACACATCTTTCAAGGACGATTTATATAAACATGTTAATAACAACTTTAGTAAAGGAAAACTGTTATGAGCAAAATAACAAGTGTTTCTCGTGCCGATTATTTTCTGAAACATTCGGGCGCCATCTTGAAATTTGAGTTCGGGGGGGTGAATGCCTCTCTTTCGCGCACTGGCTAAGCTTTTGGCGGCCGGTTACACTTTTTTGGCTGAGTTCCACCTCTGTGTAGTATATCCTCTGTGACCGCGTGCAACCCCCCTGCTAAGAGACTTGGACTAGTACAATAACTGTATATAACATGAAGTTTCCTGAACAAAATGGCGGAAATCTTAATAAAAAATGTTGATGTTTGATCGTAAAATACAAAAAAAACTGCGAATTCGTACTCAGCGTATCAAAAACTATAGATTCATGTAAACTAAAAGTAGGTCCCGAATGGGGGCAACGAAATTTCTTTTCTAAGCGACTTTGGGGGTCACAGAATACGGCCTAAATCCCCCTTGCGTAATATGTTAATTTATCCCAAAGTTTGAATAAATTAATCCAAGATTGCATTATTTGCATATAACTTGTCATTGACAAATCAGAATACATAGAAGAGAAAAAGGGAAAAGCCCTGGGAACGAGGTTGAGGTACAGTATCATACTGTGTACCCTGGATTCCAGAGCCTTCGACAGTAAATAATAAATTGAATGTCGCGAAGGCTCTGGTTCAACGGGGCGATTCTTTGATTAAACCGCGCCAATCACAAAACAGAATTAGTGGTTTTAGTACAGAATCTGTACAGAATCTGTACTAAAACCACTAATTCTGTTTTGTGATTGGCGCGGTTTAATCAAAGAATCGCCCCGTTGAACCAGAGCCTTCGCGACATTTCAATTTATTATTTACTGTCGAAGGCTCTGGAATCCAGGGTACATACTGTGCTGATTATGCTGAAAAATTTCAATAAAAGCTGCCAAAACATCCCGAATATTTCAATATTTACAAGCATAAGCTGTCACTTCGTGTTTACACAGCCACCATTTTGGACTCTACAGTATTTTTTTTAGTCAAGTAAGGGGCGGACCATTAGAAAGGTGGGGGGAGGGGGGGGTGTTACATGATAGCAACATTTATAACATTTTATATTATACATTAATACATTTTTATACTATATATATTATATATCATAGTTTAGTTATATTATATTTACTCTAGAGAATTTACCTATGGTAAATTGTTTTACACACGGGAAGTTCTTTTAGCTTAGTCATGCATGAGCAAGCAAATATTTAGTTACCACAAGTGCGTAATGGACGGGAACGGTTACCGCAAGAAGATTGTAAGAATCTTCCCACAAAATGACATTGCAAGAAAAAACGTTCTTCTCTGAACATATATAAGGGAGAGCACAACTCTTATGATTCATTCATAGGCCTCCGTGCCTTACGTGATTCATTCATAGGCCTCCGTCACCGTGCCTTACATGATTCATTAAATAGGCCTCCGTGCCTTACTTCATTCGATAGGCCTCAGCGCCTCACCTGAGTTAGCTAAACAAATGGACGACTTGCGCTTTAGACTAAATTTTAATCTAAATAAGAACAACGAAATATATCACTAGAGCTAGAAAGAGCGTCTTAGAATTAGTAACCACCGACACCCTTGAAACCCTCGAAACCATTGAAACCCTTGAAACCATCAACACCCTTGTAACCATCGACACCCTTGAAACCATCGACACCCTTGGAACCATTGAAACCCTTGAAACCTTTGAAACCCTTGAAACCCTTGAAACCATTGAAACCCTTGAAACCTTTGAAACCCTTGAAACCCTTGAAACCCTTGAAACCATTGAAACCATTGAAACCCTTGAAACCATTGAAACCATTGAAACCCTTGAAACCCTTGAAACCCTTGAAACCTTTGAAACCCTTGAAACCCTTGAAACCCTTGAAACCATTGAAACCTTTGAAACCCTTGAAACCCTTGAAACCCTTGAAACCCTTGAAACCATTGAAACCCTTGAAACCCTTGAAACCCTTGAAACCCTTGAAACCCTTGAAACCATTGAAACCCTTGAAACCCTTGAAACCATTGAAACCCTTGAAACCCTTGAAACCCTTGAAACCCTTGAAACCATTGAAACCCTTGAAACCATTGAAACCATTGAAACCATTGAAACCATTGAAACCCTTGAAACCCTTGAAACCATTGAAACCATTGAAACCATTGAAACCATTGAAACCCTTGAAACCCTTGAAACCATTGAAACCCTTGAAACCCTTGAAACCATTGAAACCCTTGAAACCATTGAAACCCTTGAAACCCTTGAAACCATTGAAACCCTTGAAACCATTGAAACCCTTGAAACCATTGAAACCCTTGAAACCCTTGAAACCCTTGAAACCATTGAAACCCTTGAAACCTTTGAAACCCTTGAAACCCTTGAAACCACTGAAACCCTTGAAACCATTGAAACCCTTCAAACCATTGAAACCCTTGAAACCATTGAAACCCTTGAAACCATTGAAACCCTTGAAACCATTGAAACCCTTGAAACCATTGAAACCATTGAAACCCTTGAAACCATTGAAACCCTTGAAACCATTGAAACCATTGAAACCATTGAAACCATTGAAACCATTGAAACCATTGAAACCTTTGAAACCCTTGAAACCCTTGAAACCATTGAAACCATTGAAACCATTGAAACCATTGAAACCATTGAAACCCTTGAAACCCTTGAAACCCTTGAAACCTTTGAAACCCTTGAAACCCTTGAAACCTTTGAAACCCTTGAAACCATTGAAACCCTTGAAACCCTTGAAACCCTTGAAACCATTGAAACCCTTGAAACCCTTGAAACCATTGAAACCCTTGAAACCCTTGAAACCATTGAAACCCTTGAAACCCTTGAAACCCTTGAAACCCTTGAAACCCTTGAAACCCTTGAAACCATTGAAACCTTTGAAACCCTTGAAACCTTTGAAACCCTTGAAACCATTGAAACCCTTGAAACCATTGAAACCCTTGAAACCATTGAAGCCTTTGAAACCCTTGAAACCATTGAAACCCTTGAAACCATTGAAACCCTTGAAACCCTTGAAACCATTGAAACATTTGAAACCCTTGAAACCATTGAAACCCTTGAAACCCTTCACATCCTTTAAACCATTGAAGCCCTTGAAACCATTGAAACCATCGAAACCACAAAAAATTCGTCCACGAATATTTGAAAATATTTCCTGACAAACGTAAATTTCTAAACCGGAAGTCACCAATTTGAAACCCTCGAAACCGGAACATTCATTTTAGCCAATGAGCTAAGACCTTGCGAGAGCTGCTACTTGACTCGTCTTTTCTCATTTTCGCCGTTAAAAATGGTATTCGTTCAATTCCCTTTCGCTAAGAAGACGCAGTGTGCCATTTATTCGCAAAATTCGTGCAGAAAATGAAGATTGATCGGTTACTGCGCTTAAAATCGCCGTTTTACTGCCAAAATTTTGCATTTCCCTATCTTTTTCCTGATAAAAAATGTGCATGACACTTGCCAGAGGGTCGCGCATGCGCATTAAAAAAGTGGGGACATGATTTGCCTCGAGTTCCGCCTCTGTATATCCTTACTCTGTGCCTTAATGGAGATAATTTGCAAACAGAAAGAAAGAAAATAACAAAATGGACAATTATAAAGTAAAAGTAAGCAACAATATCGAAGAAACGTCAATTATGAAGCCATTAAAAAGTTTCTTCATTTTCTTGTTATAAAGTTGTCTATTATTAAAACATTGTGCTCAAGTATAATTGTAAAATTTTAAGCACACTGTAAATATAAAATGTTTAATAATATATATTTACGATAGTAAAGTTTTAATGGTGTAATATATTGTGTTTTATTAATTATTATGCTTTTGGTATTGGTCACTTGGCCTATTTATATTTTATACCCTATATTAAAATGGCCCTATATTAAAATGGCCCTATATTAAAATGGCCAATTGGAATTTATAAATATAGCATATAGAATATTATAGGTGTATTTTACTAATTCTGAATTTTCTCAGTTGTATTATAAGTGAGTAATTTTAATAGCTTTTAATTAAATACAGTGAATAAGCTTATAAGCATATTCAATTGCACCTGTCCAGTCATTTGAATCCCTGCACCTTTGGCATACCAGTGGGGAATGCAAGGACAATCGCCTCTTATGGTTTATAATTTCTTGGCAAACAGGGAAGACACTTACTTTCAGTGTCCAAGTCGAGGAATGAATGAGGTCATGGAGGGGGGGGGGGGGTCACTTAGTCTTTATATAAATGTTGAAATAAAGCAGTCAGCTATATAAATGCTGAAATAAAGCAGTCGGCTAGGAAAGGCTTTTACAGAACAGTAAAGGAATAGTTTGGGAAATTTTAGTAAAAATTCCAATTGAATAATACCTGGGGATTACCTTGCCATTTTGTCCTGGCTGCAGGGGACTTCACTGAATTTCACACACCAAATTAAGTGAATGCCCCTGGTATGCCTGAGGTGGGGGTCTTGAATTCTTGTGTCATATTGGAAGAGATCATGAATTTACACTGTTTCCTGTCAACAGTTCAGAACAGTCTATTCTGTTGACTTATTGCAAATCTTGTAAGAATTGAAATTATAAAATAAACTATTATTATTGACAAAACTGAAAATTTGTATATGTATATGCAGGCTTCTAGCCAGGAGACACCCTACCATGTCTGTATAAAAATTGATTTTAAACAAACCATTACAAAAATGACATAAAAGTTGCTTTGTATTCTGAAATTCTGGTTTAAGCCTCCTGCTATAGATATATTGAACTGGAAAACTTTTCATATTTTTAAGGTGGAAATGTGTAGTAATATATTGATAAATCA